GTTTGGAATTAGAAAGAAAATTAATTAAATAGCTCTTTGAAGTTTTGATCAAATGACCATAAATAAAAAAGAATTAAAAACCATTAAAAATAGAAAATAAATCGAGAAAAGAAAAAAGAAGCGTAAGAAGATTTTGATAAAAAATTAAAATAATAATAAATTTATTTTTGCAAAAAATGTAGAAAAATGTGAGGGGTATACCTATTTAGAAACGTGTATATAGAATTTATATATTATATATTTTTAATTAATGTGTACATGGATATTGGATATTCCCTTAACTTTTTAGGTTGGTTAGTAATTAAATAAATATACGATTTTTACGTCCCCATGGATATACTACATATATTATGTGATAAGATTTACAAAATTTTTAAATCAACTTCAAAATTTTTAGTAAATATTTCAGAAGTTATGACAAAAATAAATTTACAAAAAGTAATGGATCTAGTTTTTGAAGTTTAAAAAAAAGGATAGATAGATACAAAAAAGAAGTATAAGTTAAAAGAAGGGGATATTTATTTGGCAATCGCAAAGGCAATCCAAGCAATTAATTCTATTCTCTGTTTAAAATCTTTCAAAAAAAGGAATTCAAAAATAAATATTTTTAGAAAAACGAAATGAGTAAAAGAATACTTTTTTAAATAAAGATCTACTGAATAAATGAATTTAAAAAAAGAAAGAAGTTCGCGCATATAAAAGAGAAAAAAATAAATTTAAAAATAGGTCATCTGGAACAAAACCGATTAAAGCTAAAGAGAGAAAATAAATTATATGTAGAATATATGTACACACCTATACATTATTTTACTAAAAGAATTTTGGTGATGAGCAAATCTTAAATAAATTTGGATAGATAATTTAAAGAATATACTAGAAGTCTAAAATTTCTTAAAAATAATGTTCTGGTTGCAACACGCATTTTTAAGCATTCTCGGGTTATTGTTCCTATACTGGTTACGAAGAAATGGTTACAAAAAATTTTTTTACTATCATAAATATTAGTTAAATTTTGTTTCAAACTTTGGATATAAATAAAAACAATAAAAAAAGATCATTTTAAATTTACTTCCCAATTTTTAATAAATGCGTGTCGCAATCCAAAACATCATTGTTTGCTTATTTTATTATTTATTCTTTAAACAAATTATTTTTATAAAGCCGATTAAAATTGGACAATATATTTTATATTTTAGTACAATAAATAAAAAAGAAAAATCCCTTTAAATATCGCGCTATATAAAATAGTTTTGTAGTTTTGAGGGATTATTAGAGGATTTAATTGTTAGCAAAAAATTAAATAATAAAAAATAATGAAAATTCTGCTAAAATTTTCTGCTAAAATATTTTAACATTTTAAGAAAATCAAATAGACAATAAAAGAAATCTAACAATTAAAAGAAAAAAAATAAAAAAACATAAGAAAATAAAAATAAGTTCGACATGGCAAGCGAGCGAATTGTCTGTCTGTCTATTTTTCTGGTAGTGTAAAATAGTTTGTTTAATAAAATATACCAAAAATTAAGACAATTCATAAATCGAACCAATAAATCTTAATAAAAACAAACAAAAATTAAGTCAATCCATAAGGAATAAAATTATAAATTAGCCATAACTAAATAGAAAACTCCTTCCATCTTCTATCAAACATTTAAAATACACCACCCACTCAAAAGTAAAAAAAAAGATTAAAAAGAAATCAAGGACAAATTTAAAAATACAAAATGTTTAAACGAGAGCGGTCAATAAATTTTAGTATAGAAAATAAATAAAAATCGTGAGCTCACGTTGTTTGATGAAGAAAAAAGAAAATAAAAGAAGGAAAAAGCTGGTAGTGGCCTAGGAAAAAGGTCGAAAACTGCGCTAAAATAAAAATGTCCTTTAAATTACAACCACCTTTTCAAATGACAGTCCACTATAGTATAAAATACTTAATAAAATTTTATAGTGGGTAGTTAACGATTAAATGGCGGACAACAGGAGAAAAAAGAGAATGAATTTAATTACCTAATTAAAATTTTACTAATTCAATTTTCAAAAATTTACTAAAAAAAATTCAATATTCGTATTTTTAGTGAATTTATTTAAATGTAATTCATAGCTTGAAGCATTACTTTCCTTCTAAATAAAGAGAAAATTGTCTGTATTTAGTGGTCAATCAACATTTCTCTTGTCTACTTTCTCAGCAATTTTTCTACTATTCATCTTCTTCCGTCAACCCATTTATGTGCCCAAAATAGAAAATTTGTGTGAAAATGACCAAAGAAAATAGTAAAATTGAAAACGACTAAAACGAGGTAGAAAATGAGTATTTTAAATATTTTTCAACTGATAAAAATAAACAACCAGACGCTTAAATATTAGAGAAGGGGAAGTTAATTGTGACAATCAAATCTTGGGATTTTGCAATACTTAAAGCAAAATGCTCACAAAAAATCGCATGCTTTTGCGACAAAAAAGATAACGGAAAGAGAAGAGTTGCGCATGATTTTGGCACCCCTTTTAAATGTTATTTCCTGCTACTAGACGCAAAGCGACTTTTATATAAGAATAGCATAATTGTCGTTTAAAAATGCTAAATTGTTTGAGTTAATTACCACCCACCCTAAAAACATCTTCAAAATATATATCCACTTTTAAACAAAACCACAAAATTAGCCGCGTTTATTTTTTCAACCATTCTATAAATATATTTTTGTGTCAGTCAGTTTTCTTTGTCCTTCGAATTTTTCTCATTCGTCGCAGCTGTTTGACCAAAAAAATACTAAAGTATAAATTTGAAGGCTACAAGGAAAATTTTAAACAAGCCAAAAGTGAAATATGTAGAGAAACGACTAGAGAATATGAAGTTCAAAAAGTTTAGAAAAATAAATTGTTAGATATATTTAGATATCAAATATCCTAAATAATTTAAAATAGATTTAACATCAAATAATCGACAATAAAAAGCATCGGTTAGTGTAAGGAAAAAAGAAAATAACAATAAGCCAAAGCAACCCCCCTCCCAAGTATCCATAAAATAGTAGATGTATAGTTGAAGTACAATCAAATACTAGATTAAAGCATTCAACCGTGTTTGATCTCAAACTGCAGCGGTGCGTAAAACAGGGAAGAGTGAAAGCATGAATTCTTATTTAGAAAAGTAAAATTAAGCAATGTTGGAAATTACAGAATATATGAAACTGAACTAACAAAAATCTGGAACTCTTACTATATGTCCAAAAGAATACATACAATTTTTTAGTTTTCTTCATAAGCCAACTACGAAACAATAAACCTAACTAGGAAAGATAATTAAAGTGATAAATTATTAAAAAAAAATATTCTAAAGAGAAATCAGAAAAAAAGATTTGTAATGAAAAAAGAAAAGGATAAAATGAAAAAATAAAATTCAACCAAAACTTAAAAAATCAAACAAAGTAGCCTGAAAATTAAGAGTAGTCTCTTCTCCTACATATTCCCTCCCTCTAATTAAAAATTATTAAAAATAAGAAAATATCCCAAGCATAAACAATTTTCTCAAGGAGTTCTTCTCTCCAAAAAATAATAAATTTACAAATATAACAACCACTTTAAGTAAATAAACAAAACAAAATAACTAGCTGTGACTTAAGTTAAAAATAAGGGACTGGGCCGTTTTGGCGCGGGGCCGTTTTGGCGCGAGCTTATAAGATAGCGAATTGTTTATCAAAAATGATAAAATTTTGTAATAATAACTCTCGTACCTTTATCAAAGTTCTCCAAAAATTTCAGAATTTTTGAGCAAGAATTTTAGAAATTATGGCCAAAAATGTTGATTTTCGGCAAAATGCCTAATTTTCCGAGGCTATCGACTATAACTTCAGAAATAATGGATGAAAAATTCTGAAATTTCTGTAGGGGGTAGTCAAGGATGTTAAAGAAATTTAAGAAAATTTTAAAGAATTTAGCTCCAGCCTAAGTGCCACTTTTTTGTTCTCGCGCCAAAACGGCCCGGCGCCAAAACGACCCCAACCCTAAAAATAATAATAAGTAAAATTAAATGCCGGACAGATGTGTTGGGGTTGTTGAATGTTTTATGGTTACCTAGGAGTTAATTATAAATTATTTAACCATCTCCATCTTTACAAAACTACTACTTGAAGTGCAATAAATATTAGAAATATAAGAACCTAAAAAGAATATCCCAAAAAATTAATTGAAAATATTTAAAGAAAAGTATATACTAAAGACAGAAACCCTAGGATTTAATGAGAACAATAAATTTATTCCCAAAGATTTTTAAATTAATTTTAAAATTCCCTCCCCCCTTTAACTACTGTTTTATTAATTTTTTAAATTTAAAAAATCCAAAAATAAAAAAGTCAAGGGATTGTTTCAAAGGAGTCTTAATTTTTTTATTCAGGAAAGTGTAGAGAAATGAATCAAGAAAGATTTAAAAAATAATCTTTCAATTTTTTGAATTTTTTGAATCTAGAAAAGGATTAATTTAATAAATTTATCCAAAAATAATTATTACTACTAAATATTATTTTATGGGTGGAGCTAGAAAAAAACAAGCAAAAAATCTCTGTGTGTGTGGTAAATAAAGTACATTTTTTTCCCAAAATTAAAAATATTTTATTAAGTATTCTATGCTTTGAGCTTTGAGTTCTCTATGCTTTGAGTTACCATGTTTTGAAATTAGAAATCCAATCCCAACGTTGGTGCATGTACCAGTACTTCTATTTACAATACGCTCACTATATTACCAGAATATTTTAAGGGAATAGAGGGCCCTATTCATCCAGAGTTACTTTAAACAAGCACAATAATGGACAATGGTCCTTAAAAAACCAGAGTTGGGGTACTTATTTAGTCCCCCCCCCAGTCAGTTTTTTCGAAAATTATGTAAAAATGGTCAGTCTGAACAACAATTGTAGAACCCATCGAGCTGTGTCGAATGACACCAAAATCAGCACCAAAATCACTAAATAAGTACCCAGAGTTGGTACCTATCGCCATAATTCTTTAACAGTATCTTAATCGGATTCATGTGTGATTTTTATGGAGAAAAGAAAAGAAAGGAGAAGAAAAATAAAATGGGGGGAGATAACACAAGAGTACCAAAGGTTTAAAGCAAAAGCTTGGTTAAATTGACAAAAATCAAAAAAAAATTTAGTTTGAATTTTGAAATTAAAATTTTGGTAATCGTTAAGATCATTGGTCGCAAGAAAAAAAAGCAAAAATGCTCTTCCGATATTTTTGAGGTTTGAGAGTAGATAATCAAATGTCCGGGTCCGAATCTGACAATGAGCTTATAATTTGTTTAGTTCGAACATTCGATTACCAAACCTCAAAAATATCGGAAAAGCATTTTTTGCTCATCTTTTTCTCAGGACCAATGATCTTAAGGATCACCAAAATTCTTTAAAACCTCTTTTCTTGGCTTTATAAACAAAAATTTGTTGAAATAAATTTCTGGTCCACAAATTTTACAAAATACTTATTTATCTTTGAAGAATTTTTTCTAACACCTTTCCCCATTTAAAATTGCAAATTGGTCAAAAATCAGAATTTAAAGATAAATTTTGATTTTAACAAAAAGCCCCCGATTTAAACTTCTCCAAAATTCAATTCAAAACTTAAAAAAAATTCAAAACTAACCCAAAGTTGTGCCCAAGGTCCAGTTAATTCAACACCTTCCAATGCTGCTTCTCTTTGGGTTTGTTGGGCCATTATTGAATTACTTGTGCTGTTCAACTGACAGAATCGGACATTTTTTGATGAAATTTTGCTCTAAAAAATGGAAATTAATTTTAGATTTTATAGAAAAAAATAAAAATATATTTAACTAAAATATAAATTTATTATTTAAAAAGGGTTCTAAAAAATTTTTCCCTTCATTATTTCTGATAAATATACATTATTATCTGTTAATTACGAATTTGTTAAGTAAAAGGCTTTTTGAATTTTTATAAAATTTAATTTGCAAAAAATTAAATAAAATTTTGCTTAATGCGGAAACTATTCTAAACTAATACGTAAGCCTTAACAATTAGAATTTAGAGAAGAAAGATAGGAAGTGAAGAACTTTTACATAAAAAGACTATTTAGTTTTTTCCCTTTCCAGGTTTTACAAAACTCAAAATTCGCCTCAAGTTGATAAACAAAGTTTCCCAAACCTGCAAACCCAGACTTATACTAGTCTAATTTCCAAAAGGATTGTGGATTTAAAAAATAATTTTAAATCAACTCTTTTACAAGACCCAGATTCGTAATTAACAAATAATTACAGAAAAAACTATTTCCCCATTAAAAACCAATTACCCCTTTAAAAACTACATAAAATTCACAAACCTTTTTAATATTTAAATGTTTTTATTTTTCACCAATCAATAAATTGTGTGTAGAGAAGAATAAATATAATAAAATATATTCTTTACTTTACAATAAAGTGTAAAGATTTAAAATCTGAAAAATAAATATAATTAAATAAAAAAATTCCAAACATAAATTTAATAAAAGTTTTTAACATCCTTTAATTGAAAAAAGCTTCAATGAAAATAATTTTAGATAAATTAAATTTTTATTTAATAAAATTTAACATTTTGAAATTTCATTTTGGAAAATTTCAAAATGTAAAAAACTCAAAAAGTCAACCTGACAAAATGATAAGGATAAAAAATACCGAATTCCTCTAATTGAGCGGCCGGCAGCTCTATTTTTCAATCCCGTCCCAAGGGCCGCTTTATTGGAGACGGCCTTTCAAATGGAGGTGGCCGCTCTATTAGAGGAAATACGGTATTTCAAATAGTCAACGAAGGTAGGGAGAAAATTCTTTTAATTTGAAGTTTGAAAATCTACAGGTTCGCGAAAAAAACAAAGAAAAAATTAAGTCTATTTTAGAGGTCTGAAATTCGATTATGTAATTAGTAGTTTATTCAAAAGTGTTATTAAAATTAAACTAAAAAATCATTGTAATCAAAAATGAATTAGGAGGAGTTAGTAAAAAGTCGAAGATTAGTCATTTTGAAGAAAGAATTTTTGGGTGATTCACCCCTTTATTTTAACTAAAAATTTCCAAAATATTGGAACCTAATAAATTGAAAATAAAAATTAATTTTTAAAAATTAAAGAGAAATCTCCAAACAAATCTCCTCCACCAAAAATCCCCCCCACAAAAATTACTTCCAAAAAAAACCAAAATTTATTTTAAACACAAAGTGTGAAGTATTAAAAATGTACCACTTGAATTTTAATAGCCGCGCATCTCTAAAAAATATTTTTTTAATAAAAAATTGTTGAAGGAAAAACAAAAAAAAATAAACGTTGTGCTTGTATTTATTTAGTACATATTTTGTTGTAGTAATAGCTTTAGAAAGCGCTCGCGAAAAAAAAACAAAACAAAAAAAAATTAATAACAACAACAACATCTATCATCGTTAATTCAAAACGTGTTTGAGTGGACAAGCAAAGAATTTGTGGGGAGGGGGGGGAGGGGGGAGTAGGGAGGTCTTTTTTAAAATGTGGAATTTATTTAAAAGATTAAAAAAAATATTTGGGATTAGAGTTGCCGTTTTCGAGTCGGGCCGACGGTCGAGGCATTTTTTCGGGCTTGTTTTTATCGAGTCAGGCCGGTACGAGTCTTTTTCGGCCCAAATATCTTAGGTCCGTCTCGATCTTTTGGTCCGAGTCGGGCCATTTTGGCAACCCTAATTGGGATGTTTGTTATACAGTCGTGGAAAAAAGTATGGAAGCGCTAGAAAATTTTTTCTTAATTCTTAATTTTTCATTCAAAAAATACGTTCTATATAGCAATCGAAAGCTCTATTCGTATCTCAGTTGACATGTTTTTGCATTTTTCATGAAAATGAAAATTGGCCGAGATAATCCGGATCTACCGGATATACCAAATCCCACTTTTTCGGAAAAATTTTTCGGAACAAATTTAACAAACCCATTTGATAAAGCATATTTTTCTGAGTATTTTCCACAAAATCGCTTAGAAATATCTTTTTCCGGAGCAGAGATATGATTTTTTGAAAATGGCATTTTTCGCTTAAAAATTGAATTTTTTGCAAAAATAGACGAAAAATGCAATTTTCAGAAAATCATATCTCTGCTCCGGAAAAAGATATTTCTTAGCGGTTTTGTGTAAATGCTCACAAAAATATGCTTTATCATTTGGGTTTGTTAAATTTGTTCCGAAAAATTTTTCCGAAAAAATGGGATTTGGTATATCCGGTAGATCCGGATTATCTCGGCCAATTTTCATTTTCATGAAAAATGCAAAAACATGTCAACTGAGATACGAATAGAGCTTTCGATTGCTATATAGAACGTATTTTTTGAATGAAAAATTAAGAATTAAGAAAAAATTTTCTAGCGCTTCCATACTTTTTTCCACGACTGTATGTATGTACATACTGTGGACAACAAAAATATTTTAATTTTTTAATTTAACAAAATTAGTTAAAATATAGAAAAATAAATGAATGAATAACAATAACAAATAAATATATAGCTTTCATTTTCTTTCCTATATGGCCAATGGTTTATGCCTTTAAATGGCTTCTGCCTGGACAGAGGTGCCATTCTCAGCCATTCCTAATACAAATGTGCGCAATGTTTTTGCGTTTTAATTTTAGATTTTTTGCCTTAATTCGGGTTAAATTAAAACTGAAAATTTTTTGTTAATAGTTTTGTCCTCGGCACGATAACCCAGCCAATAGGTTAGTAGATAAAAACAATGTTAACCTATAAACAATGTTACAGATTCAATCCCTATCCGGTAGCTAAATTTTTGCTAAACTCTTGTTAGAACATAGAATCTACACTGTATACATTTACAATGGAACTTCAGAATTTTCTAAGAAATATTTAGTATTATTTTTCTGTATGAATTGCTAGTTCAGAATGGGGTTTCCAAAAGCCGGGGAATTCGGCCTAAAGTTAAAAAAATATTTTTGGCGCACACCCTCTGAATACAATCCTTGACCATTCTCTCTATTCTTCTTTTAATGTGGTTTTGGCCATTTTTTTTCCTTTTTTCAGTCGAGTTGTCTTCTAAAAAAGCTTTAAAGCAACAATGTGTGGGAATAGTTAAAAGTACAAAAAGCTTTTTGTCCATCAAAAAGCCAATACAAAAAAGAAAAGAAAAATATTGATGAATAGAAAAATAAAAAAAAATATTTTTTTGTTAAAAAATAAATGGGAAAACACCCAAAAATGGATAAAAAAATTTAGTAAAATATTTAAAATTATTAAAAATTAAAATCTTTCTTGTTAATTATTTCTATCCTTTCTAGATTTAAAAAATAATTTAATGGTTTAGCTATGTAGCAATAAAAATAAAAAAATAAGTAAATGTAGAGTATGTTTATATTTGCCAGTAATTCACTGGGCCAATGGGAATTGAAAAGGAAACGAAATAAAATAGCCAAAATTATTTTATTTTTGGTGACTAAAAGTATTTAGAAAAATTGATTAATATTAGGGATTTTCATTTAAAATAAAATTATTTTTAAATTAAAAAAAAGAAAAATAATTTTGTTAAAATTAGACTAAAACAAACATAACTACCGTATTTACTCGAATAATTCCCCTGGGAATTATTCGAGTTTTGAAATTTGAACGTGTAGTAGGGTATTTGGGGGAGGGGGATTATTGTTTCAACTCATCTGTAGCAGGGGGAATTATTTTAGGGAGGGGAATTAATTGAGTAAATACGGCAAATTGTAAAACAAAGAAATTGTAAAAAAGTAATTAAAGCAAGTTGGTGTCATTTAAAAGAATTAAAAAGTTTTGATTAAAATATAAATAAACTTTGACAACAATTATTTTCTAATTTAATTAATTTTTCTTGATTTAAGAAAAGAAAGGGAAATATTTTGGAAAATTAAACCTCTTTATTCGAAATAAATTATAAACTAGTAATTAATGAAAGTTAACGAATTGAGACCAAGACAACATGCCCCCCGACTAAAGAAAAAATTCAAAATTTAAATAAGAAAATATTTAAATTTTGAAAATATTTGTTATTGATTTTTAAAAAATGAATCGTTATTTTCTTTTATTAAAAAAATAAAATTAAAAAAAATAAAAAATCATATTAAATAATTATTAGAGAGAGAACAGTCATCAATAAATAAATAAATAAATAAAAATTGTTGGGAATAAATAAATAAATTGAGTGAATTGAATCAGAAATTGTTAAATAATTGAAAGAAAAAGAGAAGGGATATGTATATAAATAAATCCATTACCGAGAATGAAGACGAAAATTATATAAAAAAATATATATATATTTATTTCCCCCCAAAATCCCCCACAACGGTTTAGTCGTTTCTACCCACAAATTCTCTCATTGGCCTTGATTTTAAAGTAAAAGAAATAGTAGAAGAATATATATTGGTTTGTTGCCGTTATATGTATATTTTTGTGTGTGTATCTGCTTTTTTTATTGTAATAATCGAACAGAAATTTAATTGTGGTGTGCGCCAAAAAGCTAACTTTTGATTTTAAAAATTGTAAATTTAAGTAATTATCTTTTTAAATATGTCCAAAATAAATGAAGAATATTAAAAAAATCGAAAAGAGTTTAACCACAAATAAATATATTTAAAGTACTACTATGTAATATGACAGGTGGAGTAATGAGTGGAAAATCCTATGAAAAAAGTAGGAAATAAAAATAAATGGAGAGTATTTTTAGAGTAAAAAATATTTAAACAATTGATTTTTTAGAGGAAAAAATATTTTAAACAATTGATTTTTAGAGGAAAAAATAAAAATTCTTTCAACAATTAGAACAATAAAACTGTGAACTGTTTACTTCAGAATTAGTGAGTGATAATAACGCGGGCATGGGAATGTCCTTAAAAGGTATGCTAAATAAAGTTTAAAGCTTCTACACCGAGACAAAAGTGTTTAACAGAAAATACTTATAATTGGGTATATTCTAAATTAATCCTAAAAATATTAGTAGAACTAAAAGGTGAGTCAAAAAATTTGTTTCAAGGTTTAGAACAGGAGAGTTAAATTTAAAATTAAATAGAATAAAAGATATCCTGAAAAACTAATTTCAACTTCGACTATAAAACAATGGAAAGGGTAATTTCCATATCTTAAGGAAGGTCGGTGCTAGGTATGATTGAGGAAGCTAGAAGCTTCGGAGACATGATTTTGAATGTCCGGAGTCGAAGCGTTTCAATTTGGAAATGAGTAAAAAATTTAAGAACCCACCCAACTGTTATCAGGAATAGGTATATTACAAAACTTTCCAACATTCCGGACTTATCTATTTATTTTAAGGAAGAAATTTTTAAATAAAAAAATTATTAAACTAAAAAATATTTTTTAAACAATTTTTAAGAAAATGAAAAGGAACATTGATTTTCAAAAAGGAGGATGTATGAAAAATATACTGCTAGTGGAGGTGACTAACACAATGGTGGAAAGGGGTTGCACGTGAATGATTAAAAAATGAGAAAAGAGAGAAGTAACAGAACAAAGAATTTAAGAGTATACTAAAATGAATGAGTTTAGTCATGAAATGGTGGTGAGATTGCAGAAAAATTTTTTTTTGAAAATTTTGGAAATGGGAAACTTGATTTTTTAAATTTGGAAAATAATTTTTACCGAAAAGATAACAGGAACGAATAAGAAGAAAATCGAAAGTATTTATCTTTTATGTATTCCACACACCTTCTAAAATAAATAAATTCTTAGTGATTATTAAACGCATCCCGATGGGCCATGATGTCAGTTTCAGAAAAGAAAGATGCATTAAGTTAGGATCGATCATAGTTGCCCTATTGAGTTCGGATTAAATGCTCAGTTGTCTTTATTAAATCCAAAAATTAATGATAAATAAATACATAGGGCTGTCGGGTCTTGAAAAATATTTGAATATCCGGAACAGAAAGATTTTTAAAGGATAGCAGTGTCTCAAAATTTTGAAAAAATATGTATGTTTCCACGCTCAAACTTCGTTTCATTTTTAGCGCCGCAGAAGAAAATTTTTGAGGGTTTCAGGTGTCTAAAATCCTTTATTTCGCCGCAGGTATTTATCTCGAATTTTCTGTAAAATCATTCTAAATTTTTATAATAAATTTCTTAATTAAAAAATAAAAATAAAATAATTTTTTAAAAACCTCTTAACCTACTTTTTGTTAATTTATTGGATATATTTTCTAGCTTGTTATATTAAATTCACAAAAAGCACAAATATAAAGTAAAATGAAGAAAATAAAAAGTGAAATATATGTAGTGGAATTAGAGAGAGAAAATAAATCCTAAACAAAATTAGTATTTATTTATTTGTTAGTTATTTTCGTTGAAGTAAATTTTGGAGTAAATAGAAAATTAAATAAAAATACTAACCATTAAGTCGAAAATAATTTTTAATAAAAATATAATTTGATATCTATTAATTGTGAAAAAATAAATTTAATCGGAGTTTTTGGTAGATACAGTAAATGTACTTGGGGAACCGCAGTTCATATTAAATCGAATCCCCTCAAATAGAAATATGATAAACCCTGATCAATTACTGAAAAAATTGGGAAACTATTTGCAAGAAAATTTTGTGAAAATCTATAAAATGTGGGCAATAGTAGGCTATGCTAATACATATATGTAAGTATGTTCTCCTTTCCTTATTCCTTAATTAATGTTGCATTTATTTGGCAAATTCAGTTTTATCTCACATATAAATTATATACAAATGTACATAGTACAAACACTCATATAATGTATAAAGAAATAATGTATTCTGGACACAATTAATGAAGAAAAAATAGAAAAATGGCCAAAGAATGCCATTTAGTCGATTTGTTTTTGGAATTTAGTGCAATAAATGTTATGACAATAAATATAAATTAATAGAAAAATAATAAAATTCTCCAAAAAAATATCCAAAAACAAAAATTCCAAATACAACCTATAATATACATATCGTAAATGCTGAAATAATTACCCTCTCTCAAATAATTACCTCTAGTTTTTCCTACTCTAATTTTAAAAATATTTAAAAAAATATTATTAAATTTAATTATTAGAAGATTTTAATACTCAACATCAAAAAATAAATCAAATTTCGATTCAATTGGATTGAGATATACCCCAAATCCAGAACATCTTCCTATTAATTACCCCCTATATTGAAACAATAATTACCCCGAATAATTATTTCAGCATTTAATGTAATTTAAATAAAATAAATTAATTTTTAACAAATTCATTCCAACTAATTTTTGTTTTTTCTTTTTTATTTTGTCTCTTTTCTGTAAACTTTGCTTCTTCTATTTTTGAATTACTATCATCATATTTTTTATAAATTTTGAATTTATTTTCCTTCTAAAAATATTTTTTGAGAGAAAATAAAATAAATTACCTTAGGTATTTCATCAATATTTAAAGGAATTTTAATAAAATTATTTAAATCTTTTTTAAAATTATTTTCCTCTTCATTTTCGTCATTAATTTCTTTTTTCCATTCAATTATTTTATTACATTTTTCAATAATTGTTGGGGTATTTGGAAATGTTTGGTAAAAGTTTTTGTTAAAACTGTTATATTGACGTTCATAAATGTTGTCTAAAATAATCTAATTGAAAAAATAAATTTGTAAGACTATTAGGAGTTGAAAACTCTTAGAAAATTTTTATAAAATCCAAGTTTTTACTAAAAACAAAATTTAATAGGAAATTAAATTTGAAAGAAAGATTTTTTAGTTTTTTAATCATTTGTCTACAAAAATACAATTGCAAATTGAATGGAGTAAAGGTTTTATAATAGGTCAAAAAACATTATTAACTCACCAATTTTTAGTTCATTTATCTCAGGACAATTAATTGAATTAAAAATGGAATCAATCCTAAAAACAAAAATTTATTATTTTATTTTAAATGTGTGTAAAATCAAAATTCATATGGATAATGAAGCATTTAATTTTTAATATTTTTATAGGAATTATGAATTTTAATTGGACTTGTATGTCAATTAAACTAAATATGTACTAATCTCTTAAATCTACCCACATATTTTTTAAATTATTTTGGTTAACATAAATAGCATTTAACCAATTATTTTCTTTATTTATTTTCCAAAAATGTTCATTAATTGTTAATAACAATTCTTTTTGTTTATCAATATTTTCTCCATTATTTTCCAAATTTATTCCAATTAACCAAACTGTCCAATGCTCATCAATACCACTTTAATTTAAAATTATATTAAAAAGTTTTTCTATATTTTTATTGAAAAATACCAAATATTACACAGTCTTTCCTCATCAAGGGTGAGCGCAAGAGACAATCTCAAAAAACGCAAGACACGAAACGCAAGGCGCTCACCCATGTTCCTCAAGTCTTGTTTTCGCAAACTTATGTTTTTAAGTTTTTGAGAAAACTTTGTTTTGCTAAACTTATTCTTCACTAAATAATAAACTTGTTTTTTTTCACAAACTTAAGTTTCTTCAAGTTTATTTTTAAGAAATAATTATTTAAAGTTTACAAAATCTAAACTTACTTTATTCTTTTACATTTTTTTTCTCTTTCAAATCCAGAAATTGAATGATATTCTTTTAAATTTATTTTTTCCTTTTTAATTTTTTCTGCCCAATCTTTAAATATTAGTCTTAATTTTGTTTTTAATAATCCACATTTGAAATTCCCAAAATAATTATTTTCATTAATTTCTGTACAAATAACCAAAATAAAATGTTTGTAAATTAATTTTAAATTTATTTTTTTAAATATTTTGTTTTGCCAAAATTCTTTATTTAAATGTTTAGAGTTTTTAAAATTATCCGAAACTTTTTTAATTTCTCTTAAAATTATATTTTTTGTAAATTCATTAACATTAAAAGCAACATTTTGTTCGGGAAATTGAGAGGATATTATTGGCATTACTGAAGAGGGTGTTTCTTTAATATTTGATAAATTCCAAGAATCAATTAAATAATTATTTTCTTTTTTTAAATATTTTGTTTTTATTAAATCTTGATTAGTTAAGGGCTCAATTAAAACAGGAAGTGGCCATTGCCTAAAAATAAGAATAAAATTGTAATAATAGTTTACAAACTTGTTTTTACAAACATCAAACTTAATAAAAATATAACAGACAAAATTACAACTAACTAAGAAATACAAACAAGTTGCAAATAAACAAAACAAAAATACAAACAAGTTGCAAATAAACAAAACAAAAATACAAACAAGTTGCAAATAAACAAAACAAAAATACAAACAAGTTGCAAATAAACAAAACAAAAATACAAACAAGTTGCAAATAAACAAAACAAAAATACAAACAAGTTTGTAAAATAAATTAAAATATTATAGCTTAACAAACCATTCACTATAAAATTTAAAGAATTGTTGCAATAAAAATGTTAATCCTCCACTATTATATAACAAATTAATTTTTGTAGCCATAATTGTTAAAATAGTTCCACTTAAATAACCAAAAACATTAGAATAAATTTGTTTTCCTTAAAAATAATTTTATAAAATTTTTTCAAAATTTTATAATACTTTTTGCCCATAATTTAACAGCTCTCATTAAATCAACAAAGAGGGATGATTGTGTTTCAAATTGGATAAATTTAGATTTGTTTCGATAGGCGATTCTAAAGCCTGAATAAAAGTATAAATTTAATCCTTAAATGCTTGATGTAGTAACAAGTCAAAACTCTAAAACTTAAGTTATTTAGTAAAAACTAAGTTAGTTAGTTAAGTTTATAAACTTAAGTTTTATAGGTTTGTGAATTTTAGACCAAAACAAAGTTTTTGAAAAATAAGTTTGTAAAAACAAAGTTTAATAAAATCAAGTTTGTAAATTAGGTTTGGTGAAACTTTGTTTGAAAAACAAGTTTGTAAAAACTTAAGTTTATAAACTTAGTTTGTAAAAACTTAAGTTTATAAACTTAAGTTTTTGAGAAATAATTTTAATCAAATAAAATTTATAAACTTCAATTGGTAGCCTATTAAATGGCATTAGGGAGGGCAATATAATTATTTACCTGTCAAAACCAAAATACTTTTATTATAAAATTGATCATTTTGTTTGATCATTGCCTCAATTAATTCATTCAATAATTTATTATTTTTGTTCATAATATTTTCATTTTCTATATTTGTTAAATCAAAATTTTCGGGAATATTATCAAAAGGAATGGGTGCAGCCATTATATCCATTTCTACTTCGGATATTGAAATTGATATTATTGGAACTCTGGCATTTTCTATTGAATTTATATATGTATCAGACATTGAATATCCCTTAATTATTATTTAAAATTTACATATTCTGTTTAAAGAAATTATTTTTAAAAAATAACTAAATGGAAATTAAATTTAAAAATAAAATTGCTAAAGTTGCCAAAGGTGTCAAAAGTTATTATTTGCCGGAATCAACACCGGAACCAAAAAATCTATGAACACGAAAGATTTAGATTATTTGGAAGATTTAGAGTATATTCCAAGGAAGATTTAGAGGGCAAGTACAATTTTTGAATTGTCAACCTCTAAATAGAGAGAAAAGTTCGGCCCTGAAAAATATTCTCTTTCAAGCCATGATAACCGATATTTTTATTGTCTTATCGAATCTTTAATTGCAAACTAATTTTCACCTTAAATTGAAATTCCTCGACCGTTTCCACATTATAAATTTCATTTTTTAAATAAAAAGCAAATGATTGAGCATTCGATCCAAAAAATAAATCATGTTTTGTACAAAAACGAATATTTCCATTTTTTTGACATTTTCCACAATCTGCCAAAATATTTGGGAGAGGACATAAACATTTTTGTGGAAAAATAAAAATAATGTCCAAATCAGAATCTGGCCCTGCTGTTTCGAGAAATGTTGAGCCTCCAATTATCATTTTATAGTCTAAATAAAAATTGTAAAATTTTGTTCAATAATTTGTGGGTTCCAAAAACTCGCAATTTCAGAATTTTCACAGTTCCGAATCCGAGGTTTTTTGAAAGATTGGTCTTGAGGCTCTGAAAAATTTCAGGCTTGCACAGTTTTAGAACAGGATTTTAATTATTATTAAATCCTCGGAATTGTTTTACGGCTAAAATAATTTCTTAATTTCAATCTCAACCCCTTAAAATTATTTTTTATTACTTTCATTATCTCCTAATTGATCCTTGCATATATTTCCTAACCAATTTTTGAATTTCCTTTCTAACCATTCTGTCACAATTTTTTTCTTTTCATTTACTTCATTATTACTACTCGTATAAATTGAGTTTAAATAATTTTGAAGCTTTAAAATAAATTAAATAAAAATTATTCAAAATTCCCTTAAAAACAATAACCTCCTCATTTAGTAATGATTTAGAAGGAATAATTATGTTTAAGTTTGATTTTGGGGGTTTAAATATATTTTCTTCAAATATTTCTGTCATTTGTTGAATTAAATCTTTATCTAAAGTAATTTAAATATTTTAATTTTATTAGGTATTTGTTAGGTGGATCAGGATATCCTGATCCAAATAAAGACTGGGCTTAAAAAACGAATTTTGCTTATCATACAGTATAGTGACGTTGTCCTTAAAATTATTGCCAAGGCATCTCCGGGACTTTCCTGCTTTAGATATCTATTCAGGACAGGTAAATTTAATTTTTGATTAGCGGCAAATCTCAAGAATAACTAAAATAAGGTCCGATTTTCGAGGGATGTCCTTCCGTCTTTAAAAAATCTATCCTGTGTTTACCTAGCTTTTCCTGATCTATTATATTCATTTGTCTTTCAATTTTATTCAACAATTTTTTTGTAAATTTTTTCAAATTTAAGTCATCCTTCTCAACAAAATTAATCATTTTATTTTTATTTTCTTTTTCATTTTTTTCTTTAAATAAATAATTTATTTTTTCAAAAAATTCCAAATTAATAATTCCATTTTCTTCAATAAAATTTCCAAAAAATTTCAAAAAGTTGTCCTTTTCAAATATTAAATAATTTTTGTTTTCAAAAATTATTTTGTTTGTATTTTTAGCTAAAAACATAGAAATTGTTTTTATACGAAGTTGTTTTAGTAAATAATCTTTATTAGCTTTATTTAAGTTGTTTTGATTGTTTGAAGTTTTTAAACTTGTTTGTTGTTGTCTAAATGTAAATATTTTTAATAAAAACTTGAACAAAAACTTACAATATTCTCTCAAAATTTTCTACAAACTTTTTATTAATTTCCAAGTTGGAAAACATTCTAAAACTTAAAAACCTATAAACATTAAACATTTTCCCCAACAAAACATTAATATTTATATTTTCTGTTGTTAAACTTGTTAAAACTTGTTTTGTAAAACTTGACCAACTTTTTCTCAATTTATTAAAAAAGTTGCAACTTGTTTGTCTAAAACTTGTTTCTGTTAAAGTTGCAAAGTTTATTTTATTTTCCCCTAAATTATCTTCAAAAACATTTAAAACTTCCAAAATGTTTTTCATTAATATAACAACATCAATTAATTTTATAATATTTTCTTTGTGTTTTTCGTCTTTTTCCACAAAATATTGAGAAAATAATATTTCAAAATTTTTGTTCATGTTTCTCATTTCATTTTTACCAAAAATTTCTAAAATTTATTATAAATTAGAGTAATTTTGAATTTTGTTTCCATAATGGTCAGAATTCCTTCTTAAATTTCATTTTATTTTTTCTAGGCACTTAATCAGTTACTATTTAGAAAAATTCTAGAAATTGATGTATAATTTCCAGACGAGAAAATGTTACGATTAAGAAATGTTAAGTTTATGTACAAAATGTTTAAGGTTGAATTAAATTTTTCAACCAAAAGTCCATTAGTATGGAAGAAATTATGACAATTATGCATCTTTTGGGGAAGGAAAATTATGGGAATGAGATTTAAAATATCCAAAAATACCATTTAACAAAACATTTGTGTTAATTAAATCTAAATTTCGGTCATTAGTCGAAGAAATTGTTGAAGAAACAGAGGAAGCTTCATCAATTCCTTGGTGACTACTATCATCCTTCTCATTATTCTTTTCTTCATTTTCTTTAAATTTATTATTTTTATTTGCTTCTATACATTTTTCTTTATTAGATAATAATGCATTTTTTAATAAACGAGAATGAAGTATTTTTCTATTTATTTCTGAATTATATTTAATTATTTTTTTATTAAGATAAAAATTCGGACATTTTTGGGTAAAACCCCCTAACAATAACCCCTTTGGTTAAATGTGCTGAGCGTTTGGTGTTACGGCAGTTCAGGATATGGCAGTTAAGGATTTAAAATTGTTAAAGAATTTTAAAAATTGTTGAATAAGATCCTTTTTTATCAGTTTCCGACTTCTTACGGTTTCCGAATCAGTTATAGTGATGCAACACTGAAAACTTTAAAAAATTTCCGTTTTTAAAATTTTATATCCACAATTTTCGTCCGGAATTCCCGTACCGCCGAATGTTCTGAAACTTCGATTCTGAAATTTCAGATTTTCGTCCTTTTGAAATGAATAATTTCGACTTGTTAAAGCCAGGAAATAAACTAGGTAAGGTAGAAAAATTAATATTTTTTTGCCTTATATCTATTTAATACTCAAAATTTTCGCCTCTAGCCCAACTTAATAATTATGGTAATTTTAAAATTATTTTTTTTACTTTTTTCACTTTTCTCCTCAATAATTTTTTCTTTTCCTCTATTTTTAATATTTATTTCCCCTTCTTGATTCAAACCTTCTTTACTTTTGTCAAAATCTTCTTCAGAATTTTTTACTTTTTCTTCTTCTTTATCATCAACCTCTTCCAAAATTTTACCCTTTCCTTCTTCCATCACTTCTTCTCCTTTTCTATCTTTTTGTTGTTCCAAAACCCTTCCTTCCACTTCTTCGTTAATCCCCTGTTTTTCTTCCTTTCCAACTCCTTCCTCTTTCATTTTCATAAAATTATTGCTTTCTTCCTTAATAAACAAATTTCTTTCATTATTTTCTTCATTCAGCACTCCTTTTTCTTGCGATTCTAAAACTTTTCCCTTTCCTTTATTCTTCACATTAACTTCTTCCTTTTCCGCAACTTTTCTATCATTTTCTTCCTTCAGTTTTTCTTCTTTCTCAAAATCTCCTCCTTCCTCAAATTCTTCAATTATCTCCTTATTTTTAATAAATTTCCCCTTCGTATACACTTTTTCGATTTCCTTAATTTCCTTATCCAATTCCTCTTTAATTTTTGGATTCAATTCATCCCCAATTTCCTCAAAATTACTTTTAGATGATTCTCCCTTTTTGTTATCTTCCAATGCTTTAATCCTTTTAAGCAATTCTTTAGGAGTTAAATTAAACAATTCTTTTACCTGATCAGCTAAATAAATAAAATAAATTATAATGAATATTGGGCATTGTTCCAATTTAGACTTGTCGAAATTAATATTCTTTTTTCAAGCCAGAAACGAATGAAAACTAGTTAAATAACACTTATTTGGGGTTAAATGTGGATTTTAAATTTTAATGTTATGAAATCTATTTTTTGGTTTTTACAAATAGCTTATTTAATTGGGTTAGTTATCCTTGAATAAATTCTAGGGATCCAAACAAGCTTTTTAAGTTTTAGCCTCTCCATTGACACCGGCTGCAATTTTCAAAGTTCTTAGTTCCGACTCCAGCTTCAGGCATAGCTGCTCCGAAGCCATAACCAGCACTGCTTCCCATCTCTACCAAACAAATCATTAAAACCCCCATAAAAATACTTAAAATATTTTTTTTGAATTTTTAAACTTACTCTTATCTAATATTAAATTTCTGAATTTATTTAAATCTCTCCTATTCAATTCTTTAAAAATCTCAGCAATTTTTTCCATCCAAATTTCCCTTTGTCCTTTTAAATTTTCTTCAATATGATAATTTTGTCCATTCTTTAAATGAATACAAGCACTCCAAACATTCCCCATTTGATTTAAAAATTGTTTTTCAATCTCTTTCTTTTCGTATAAACGTTTTAAACGAATAAATTTATCAATATATTCACAACATTCTTTTACTGTTTCAAGATATATCGGTGTAAATAAATTTGAACGGGCATAATCTTCAGTAAATAAATAGATTTTCTGAATAAATAATTAATTAGTGAAACTCTTTATTAGAGTTTCACCGGAAGTTCCGTTCCGGTCAAAATTTCGGTTCCGTTGAGACACAACTCTTTATGCGGTGGGGGAAGGGCAGGAACGGATCTCTCCCCTTAACTTCAATAATCGGTTGCAGTCGCGGAAATGGAAAAGAACCATTATGAAAGGGCCCAATTACAAATTATTAACATAACATTAACAAAAAGAGTATCAGCAACTCCTATTTAATTAAAAAATTTTTGGGTGTGGACTGGAGAGTTTGGCTTTATAATTTATATTTTTATACTTTAATATCTGATGTAATTTCGTTTGGATTTTTTTCAATCAGGTGATTTGCTACATAATTCTGTAAATAATGTTCACCAAATAAATAAAGCTTGGAAATATATTGCCAGAAAGATTTAAAGTCCCATTCCTTTTCTAAAATATAAAATTAAAAATTTATTTCTTTGTAATATTCTGAATGTTTTAGGCCTCCTAACTAACCTCCTATTAATTTTAATTTAATTTTTACCTCCATTTTTTTCTTCTTTCTCCATCCAGTCAAAATAAATAAAATAATTTAAAGTATTTTTTAATCTCCATTTTTCTATAATATTTATATCTTTATTAAAATATTCTGTAAATAGTTTCAAATAAATACTTTCTCTTGTATTCTCCTAGAAAAATAAAGAGAAAATAAAGTAACATATTTTTTGAAATAAAGCCCCATGGGGGCTCTATTTTTCAGGCTATCCTCCAAACAGAGGCTCTATATATTCCAGCATGGGGCTCGATTTTTCAATGTATTTTCTGAATTGGGATAGGTTTAAGATGCGAATTGAAATTTTGATTTGCCAAATATTTCTGGTAAAAATTCAACTCTTCAGCTTACAAGTTTAAATTAGTAAGAGAAGGGAGAATAGAAATAGAATATACACCGTAGATCCACGGCACTAGTACTTCGTAGAAGCGCATATAGTTTCCCCATCGAAGGATCATTAGACGTAAATCTGTTCAAAACCATCGAATCTACTTGAAGAGTAATATCTAATAATATTACTCCTTTGTTACTCCCTTGTTATTAAATCAAGTTCTTAAATAACCCTTTGGTCTCCAATAAACTCAGTAACTAACGATTATTGGAGATTTATTTTTAGTATGGGGCTCTATTTTAAAAAATACAGTACTCTATAAAAGCAATCAGGATGTAGTTCAGTTAGCAATTCCAGTCGGGCACGTCCAAAAAGCTGTGCCAACCTTTCATTGAAATATAAGAGTTTTGGTATTTCTTTTACATATTTTATAGACTTTCTGAAATTGTAAAATAAATATTATTATTAAAATTTTATTTGTTTATTAATTTAATAAACAAAAACTAAGAGAAGAAACAAAACATTTTGAAGCAGAGTGTTTTGAGTGTTTTGATTTCAATTTAATGTAAAGTTGAAACTAAGAACTTAACTAAAGAACTAAAGCGAATGATACTAACAACGCCCAAAGTAAAATTGAATCAAAATTTAGGAGAGACGGAGGTAAGAATATAAAACTGAAAATTACTGAGGCAAAACTTGACAAAGCTTGGGGTTCAGGGCTAGACGTAATTGCGGATTGCGTACCGTATATCCTTTAATAACTACTCTGGGTAATTATTGTTTCGACCTTCCTCTGGAGAAAGTAATTAATCGAGGGAGGGTAATTATACGAGGTTTGAAAGTTGAACGTGATTTTGGGCATTTGTTTGCTAGTAATTATTGTTAATTAATGGAAGTGGGGTAATTATTTGAGTCAGGGCAATTACATACAGGTTATACGGTAGGTGTGGTTTAACTTGCGGCCTGCGACTGGAGGTTTTTAAAGATTATATTCCGTAAAATCTCCATTAGAATGCCCCCCTTGCCCCCTCTTTATGTAAATTTTTTAAAAATATAAAAATATATTCAAGAGTGATTTCAATCCACTTTTGGCGAGTTAAAGAGGGATAATGAAAGATATCAGTGAATTAGTAGAAATTGTGAGGGATTCTGAAATTTGAGGGAACTAAAAATGATATAAGGGATCAGCATACGACTCAGAACGGGACTATTTGAGTCCAGCCCTGTTAGGGATAAATATCATAATTAATTATCTGAACACCCACCCACATAAATTATATTTATTATTAAATAGTATGTACATATATTACTTACTGCAAATTCCAAGTAAAAGCAAACTGAGTACGAAAGAATGCAACAAAAAATACTTGAAAATTAGCTTCCTGAATTTCCTCTAAATTTACTTTTATTTTATTTTTGGCTAAATTATCCAAAAGTTTTTCTAAATAATTTTTATTTTTTGATGAATTTCTCCCCCGTTTTTTATTTTCGTTTATTTGTAATGTTTGAATATTTTCATTAAAATTTATTTTTAAATTTTCTTCTTCATTTCCAACATTACCATAACGTTTACACAACAAAAGATAAGTACTTATAAATGGGTCGTCCCAAAATAACTTTTTTATTTCATCATCACTATATTAAAAAATAAGATTATTAATTTTATCACAGAAGTGTTTAATTTGTAATATCCCGAATTATCCTTAAAGTAAAATGTAAATATTACAACAACGGTCTCCGTTTTCCCACGACGAGGTACATCGGTGAATGCGAGAAGGAGAACGAGGGCTCTGGAGGAGACCCCTCTCACATCCCCGGAGAATTTCCTTCCTAGGGAACGAGAGTCAACTTAAAAATCTAATTACTACTTGACTCTTTCGTAATCCAATTGCTCACGAGACTATAATTAAGAGATGAAAATTTAGAATTTTTTTCCTTTGGGATAAGTTTTTCCATCAAATTACCGTATTTCTTGAAATAGTACTACCTCTTGAATTAGTACTCCCCCCCTCAAATAACACTCCCCTTTGGAGGAGGGTTGAAAAATAGGGTACTCTTGTGTTATACACCTACATCGTTTATGTCCCCCTTTTCCTTCACCTTTCCTTTTTATGCCTTCATTTCAAATTTCTCTTTCGATTAAAAACGGTCAAAGCAAATTATGGGCAAGGGGTAAAATTCAAGTTCGTTCCCTTTCCTTTTTTCATCCTCAAAGTATTAAAAATGGTCAGTCTGACTCAAGTTATAAAACTCGTTGAACTATGCCGAATGACACCAAAATCATAAAAATCCGACTCGATTTGACCGAGATACATTGAACAACCATAGGGACAAAAAACCATGGAACCGAAAATTTGTACAAATGATTGCCATTTGAGAGAGCTCGTTGAGCTGAGTTTGCTCCAAAAATATTTTTGCTTTTTTATAAATGAATTTAATTCTTGCCAATTAATTGCCTTTGACCATTTTATAATCCAAAAGAGAAATTAGAAATGAAGGCATGAGAAAGAAAGTTGAAGGAAAAGGGGGACATAAACGATGTAGGTGTATAACACAAGAGTACCAAAAATAGTACTCCCGGGAGTACTATTATAGGAAATACGATAATTATCTTACATTATTCCATTTTGTACTTCTTTATTTTTATCATTGTCTATAGTCGAATTGATTAAATAATATTGTGAAATAAAAATAATTTTAATACTTAATTTGTCATTTTCTGAATCAGAAATATTTTTAAAAATTGCTATATTATCTAGCAATTCTGTATAATAACATAAAAGCACTGGAGGTAATATATTGACATCCATAGGTTTTGAGTTTAAAAAATGTTTTGTAAATCCGTCACAAGTTTTTTCTAAAATGAGAAAAAATAATATTTAAAAGAATTATCAAATAAATAGGACCCAAAAGGAGACTGAAATTCCTGTCTGATCTAAAATTGATATACCAAATTTCTTATAAAATAATTCACTCCTTTTAAGAGTTCTCTACTTTTTAGCCCTCAGTTTTTTATTAATTTTATTTTGTCCAACCCTTCTATTTTTGAGATTTTGTTAGTTTATATTTATTTTTAACAGCCTAATAAATTTAATTTTTAACCAGAAAGTCCATTAGTAAGTGCATACTTACAACAACTTTCTATAGTTTCTGGTTACTATTTGCAACCAAAATCAAATTAATTTTTAAAAAGTATTTTCAAAAAATATGTATGTATTCTTAAATAAATTTTAATAAACTTACTCCTCAAAAAATCCAATGTAGACGTGGTTTCTTTTAAAATTGTTGAAATCGTTAATAAAAATAACAACAAAATTTTCATAATAATTTTTATTTAAATAAAAAATTTAAATTTCATTGATTAAACATTTTAAATAAAATTTAATAAAATAAAAGTGCTAATTTAGAGGGGAGGGGAAGGGAGGGGAAGAAAATCTATAAATTTTTTAATAATTTTAAAAGAGGGATTATAGTCTGTGTATGTACATAATCAATATTTTTTAAGTTTATGATTTTTGAATACATAATCTCGATGAATGGAAAACTAAACTTTAATACCTCATTTCAGGCCTGTGATCGAAAAAATGTTAAGTTTAAGTACAAAAAGTTTAATTTGGAAGTACATAGAGAGAAAATTTTTCAAAATAAAAAACGGGCGTAGTGACAGAAGACCCACAGACAGAAGACCCAAGGACAGAAGAACCACAGACAAAAGACCCACAGACAGAAGACCCACAAGGACAGAATACCCACAGACAAAAGACCCACAAGAAAATTTTTTAACTAAAACTTTAGAAAAATTTTTTTGAAATTTCTGAAAGAGATTTCCATTTTTCAAAACACAAAATTAATTCTAAAGTTAACCAATAAAATTTTTACCGTAAAATTTTATGGATGAGTGCGATTTAGATAATTAAATTTGAAAGTGGTTCGAAGAGTCTGGTGATTAATTGGGATATGTAGGAATAGCGCGGGATATTGAGAATATAGGGGTAAGATCTCAAATCCACCGATATTTATTCTTATCTGTAAATTGTGTATAACAGGAACTAGGAGAATGAACA